GCAGAGGTGTGGAGCTCTTTTTTTTTTTTTTTTTTTTTTTTGTGGAGCTCTTTTTTAGTAGTCTTCCTAGGACTATTCATGGGACGCTGGACCCCGGTTTCTAGCTTTTTCTATGATTTCAGCCTAACCGGGGCAATGGCCCCAAAAGCTCATGTGTATTTCCAAATTTTCTAAAGGGATGCTGGGCCCAGTTCCCAGCACGTGCTGAACAATGTGATGTAATGGGACAGTGGACCCGGTCTCGAGCAGGTGATGCTCCCTACCAACAGAACGGAGCCTGGCAAAGGTACTACCGGGGAGCACCTCCCGTAGTCCCCCGGGTAGTAACCCGAGCCCTGTTTCTCAAAAAAAAAAAAAAAAAAAAAAAGGACAAAATGAAGTGGGCTTAAGTCTGGGTACAACATGGAAGAGGTACCCAAGGGTAGCCAGGGAAGATATAAAAGGAGGCAAGACAGAGGTAGAACAAGGAAGGGCCCGCAGTATAGTTATGGGAGAACCACTAATTTGGGAGAAGTAGTTAGTAGTTAGTTCTCCGTCAGCTAACGGTATCAAACGCGTTGGATGAAACAGTCGTGTATGTCTGAATGGCAGGCCAAGGTGAGTCAGGGCACCAGACAGAGACTGAGAGACATTAAAACTGGGGAGGTGGTTGGTTCTCCGTCAGGCAAGGGTATCAAAATCTCTGTTTGAAACAGCTTAATCTGGTGGGTTGGAATGACAGATTGGGTTTAGGGTACCAGTCTGTACATTATCGGCCACAGGACCTCGTCCGTACAAGCACAGATTCGAACCGGCGCCCTCAGCCTTAAGAGCCGAGTCTCTTAACCACTACAGCCTTGACACGGTGTACAAAAGTGGATCCATGCCGGGCTTGATATCCATCCAAACCCTGCATGGCTGTAGTGTCCTTCAACTCACACACACACACACACAACACCACACTAGGCATCCGCCACACAGGCAGTAGTCGCACACTCCGCTCTCATCCAGCACAACTGCTTATCCAACGGTTTTATCCACGGGCCACCACATCCAGGTATCAGGCAGGAACGCCCCTTTGCTCTTCAGAAAGCGCGACCAAGGCCGCCGCAGAAACAGACTTCCGCATATTTTATCAGCAGAACTCCTTTACCTATGCTACCTTTCATCAGATGTATAGTCAATTCAACTCATGTGAGGGACGCTGGACCTGGTTTCCGGCAGGTGGTGGTCCCCACCAATGGAAAGGAGCCATCACAAAGGGACGCTGGACCTGTTTTTTTTGGCAGGGTTCTTTTTTTTTTTTTTTTTTTTTTTTTCCCCACATCCGGTTGGGATACTCCACCGCCATCTAGGTCTCGCCATAATTGCAGTCAGATACATTCAGTAAAGTGTTAGTGCGAGTATGCCCCTCATATCATAAAAGAAAAGTGTGCAGGACAGAAATAGCCCCTTCATGTTGAAAAGGAGGACAAAATTAGGACAAAATTTTAGCCTGGTTGGTCAGAATGCACCTGGGCCCTGGGTCGTCCAGGTGCAGATCCTGCACCTGGGAATCTACACATCGAGCGGTCTGTTTAGTATTTACTCTCTCGAGCTTACAACCACTTGGCTGCGGGCGACCGTCAATGCGTCCAGATCATCAATGCATGCAAATGAAATTTCATTTCAAGCTCCACCCTCTCCATTCGTGTGTTTTGCTTAAACCCTAAAGTTCTAAACCCTAATTTGTTGTACTGGAATCTTTTTTTTTTTTTTTTTTTTTTTTGGTTGTACTGGAATCGACCCACAAAAGGTCACACAATTTGCTGCCAGAATCAAACGTTGTAAGCCTCCTGGAGTTCATAAAGGGTTTACGGTTTTCGATATCTTTTCGGTCATATACATATTCAACATGAGGGTGCGTTGTGCTCGGAGGAAGATGGTAGCGCTCAAGGCCATGGTGAACCCTATAGCAGCACCATTATCATCACCACCCTTTGCGAACACCTATCCCATCCCCCGCTCCCATCCCCATCCCCATCACCATCACCATCACAACCACTGTCTTCATCAGTGCCATCGCCACCATACGTATGTAATCGTCAGCATCAAGTACATTTAGGGAGAGCAATGGCTTCCCCATCACCATTACCTTTGTAATAATAGCTCTATTAGCTCTCTTTGGAGACGGCTATGGCATCACCACCATCACCACCACTGCCACCATCACCATCATCACCATCATCATCATCATGACCACCACCATCACCACCACCATCACCACCACCACCACCATCACCACCACCATCACCACCACCATCACCATCACCATCACCATCACCATCAGCAGCACCATCAGCAGATTCAGCGCCATCACCGCCATCATTGTCACCTTTAAAATGGCTCTATTAGCTCTCTTTGCAGACGGCTATGGTGTCCCCACCATCACCATCACCATCACCATCACCATCACCATCACCATCACCACCATTACCACCATCACCATCGCCATCACCATCACTATCACCATCACCATCCCACCAACACGACAACCATCATCATCACCGTCACCACAGTCACCATCACCACCATCACCATCACGATCAGTATCAATTGGGCAATGGCTATGATACGTAGAGCATGGCAGAATGGTAGCATCATCGTCATCACGAGCTCCATACCCACTGAGTCTGAGGGATACGCCGTACACACACCACATGTCAGTCTTTTCGTCGTTTTCGATAATTTAAAGCTATGAACTATTCTGAGAAAATGATCATGTCAATAGACTCGATACTCTTTCAAGGTTACCAAAAAAATATTAAAAAATATAAAAAATTAGCCTTTTCATTATCTGGGTGATGAAGGCTGCATAGCAGGTCTGACACGCATCTTATATCCTCTAATAAGTGTGGGAGCTTCTCTCTCTCTCTCTCTCTCTCTCTCTCTCTCTCTCTCTCTCTCTCTCTCTCTCTCTCTCTCTCTC